AATCTAAATGCTTTCTGCCCAGGGCTTCACTTTTATAAGCCTCTTCATTAATTACATGGGCGTGGCTAATTCCATAGGAACCAATCGCAAAAGCCCTACAATCCTCATGTGGAATGCCCAGGTGTGTCCATCTTAATGATGCACACCTGCTTCCAGATCCCTGCCTGCTCAGAAGCCATCTTGGCTCAGAGAAGCACCACAGCCTGGTCTTGAGCCAAAATGTCAGGTTCCTACAGAAGCCTTCTACGGACACTATGACATTCCCTTAATAACTTTTCCTTGAACATTATTAGAAGTGTGTTCTTTCAGAAATCTATTTCAGAAATAACTTGAGAGAGATTTTATTATGGTTTATAAATATATTCATATATATGTGGTATATATACACATTTGTGATTTTAACTCTTAAATCACTTCAGCCCCCAATATTATTTCTCTCCCCTTGTCAGAACTATCATTGGAATGTTGTTCTCAGTTGATGTATCACAAAGGAGAAAGTCAGAGCTGAAGAACCCATTATAAAAACATGCTTTGCTAATAAAGTCCTCTGTATTTAAAAGTAATAATGATTGATGAGAGTGTTGGAATTTCAGGTAATCATCAATCAGATAGCTGTAACTCACTACCTGAATTGTATGGAACAATAGCTTCTTGGAATTCCAAGCCATTCCAGATCCTGAGGATTTTCCTCTCCGGCACCTCCATCATTGACAAAGACACCTTGCTGACGAGCAGAGATCAATGGAGTCTAAGAAGAACTCCATGATAATACCAGGCCTTAAACTTGCCAGGTAGACCAGTCCTTTCCAGAGATCAGCCAGCAGCCCTATCACCCCCAGCTCACAACTTACAACCCACTGAATCTCAGCAGGTGTAAGCCTGGCCAGTACCTAGATGGGAGACCTCCTGGGAAAAACTAAGGCTGCTGCTTGAAGTGGTTTTAGTGGGGCCAGTAGGGGGCGCTCACCCTACAGCGTGTGTGGGTCCGAATGCTCAGGTATAGTGACAGGGACACTGTATTGTAAAAAGGTGGTGTCCTTCGGATGAGACGTATAACAGAGGTCCTGACTTTCTGTGGTCATAAAAAATCCTGAGGCATTTTTCAAAGAGAGAAGGGGTGTTATCCCAGCATGCTGGCCAAATTTCCCATTGGCCTTTACCAAACATGGCCTCCTAGTAAGCCCCATCTATGACCTGCTTCATTACTCTGTTCTCCTCCCCACTAATAGCTTGTGTGTGGGGAGTGTACTGGTGCACTATGGCTGCCGTCGCACCATCCAGGTGGGGCTGCACATTGGTGCTGGTGGAGGGGAGTCCCCATTACCTGTAAAGCTCTTTGAGTGGAGTGTCCACAAAACTGCTATATAAATGTAAGCAATTAATAATATGATGTCATCCAAAACTCAGCTTACATAAGGATATTCTTCACACTTTGCTTGTTATTGAGGTCAGCCTGAGAGGGAGATGCTGATCCTGCTCTTGACCTTTACAGGAAATGATTCATCTCCTGCCAGGTAGGTTCTGACTCTTCAAAAGCACTGGTGGGTCTGTCTGGTTTAACGAGTGTTAAGCCATCACCTCCAGTTCCTCCTGGTGTCTGGGATCACTGCAGGTTCAAACAAATATTCTTCCACCTCCTCTTTTGTAAACTCCAGCTTTTCTGGTCTTTTGTCCATTTATCCGTTTAATTTAGAAACGGGGTTGATAAATTTGAATTTATTTGAATATAATAGCTTTTTGTGGTCTTTGTGGTCATTAAAAATCCCAGGGCGTTTCTTGAAAAAAGTAGGGGTGTTACCCTGGTGTCCTGACCAAATTTCCCATTGGCCCTTACCAATCATGGCCTCCTAATAATCCCCATCTGTGAATTGGCTTCATCACTCTGCTCTCCTCCCCACTGAGAGCTGATGTGTGGTGAGTGCTGGTGAACTTTTGCTGCTGTTGCATCATCCGGGTGGGGCTGCACACTGGTGCTGGTGGAGGGGAGTCACCATTACCTGTAAAGCGCTTTGAGTGGAGTGTCCAGAAAAGCGCTATATAAGTGTAAGCAATTATTATAATTATTATTATTACTTGTGGTACAGTGCACTAGTGTTAAAAATCATGCTAATGTAGTAACTGTAGTTAACCAGTTAAATTAAGTTGAAATAATAAAGTGTGAACTACTTTGACATGAACCAAGAGAAACATGAAAGGATGTCATAGGGAAGTGTAGCTTAAATTTCTTTACACAAAGAGTTGTGGGAGAACAGCACAGGCGATCCAGCCATGTTGTTGAAACCAACAGCCTGTCATCTTTCAAGCAATGGCTGCATGAGATTATCGAATCAAACCCTTACCGGTAACCAAAAGAGCTACATGGGTTGAATACTGTGCTCTCATTTGAACTTTTATCATGTTCTTGTAACTTCGTAAATAAACACATCAGCTGCATGTCTAATAAGAAGTACAATGGTAGTAAATTTAATGCATTCTAAAAAAAAAAACTTTTTTTGAAACTTGTAACTCATCGGGGCTACTGAAAACATGCTTGATTTCTTTAACACGTTTTCGGGTGGAGCCAAGAAAAACAGCTGCCTGCGCCGTCAGTCTGTAGCCACGCCCACTCGAATGACATCTCTCGCAGGCCACGCCCCGCGCACCTGTGCGCCAGGTTCTGCTGGAGAGAGCGGAGCTGAGTGTGTTTGTTCCGCGTCTTTTATGATTATTTTTTATTTTTTCGTTTCTTTTAAAGTAGATAAAATATAACTTATGCAATTATGTAGTCTAAACCTCGCTAGAGAAAGGGGAAAAAAACGTATTTTCGTTGGGAACTAAATAGCATTTTTTAATATGTATTTTCTTTTTCAACACTTCTTTTATTTTTAACAAACCATTTGTGTTACATAGACAACGTGTGTATTCCTTTTACATCTATGAAAAGCTCTGTTATAGCAGTAAAGACAATTACTGTATTAGGGGAAATGAAAACGTCGCTTTTCTTAATTTCTTTATACTAATCTTTCTCTGTTAAATATTTCGTGACCTTTATTTTAAAAAAATTCGTGTGCGTTGATCCAAACTTAAAGTAGCCTGCCTAGAATTGTGTTTTTTAAAATTATTTTTCAGAGAATGTTGTGTTCTTATGTTCGTGGTGAACTTTTCGCTTAAAAACTAAAAGTTTTTAAATAAATTCTGCTGTGTTTGTGTTTTCAGTTTACTGTCTTCGGGTAGGACATGATTCGCACTAAATAAGTGAAGTGTTAAACTTAAGTAGGAACATTTTGTACATTTCTTTACACGTATGGTTTTAAAATAAATGTTGCGCTGTTTGCACTGGTGAAAACGCCGTTTACTGCTGAAAAACCTTGGTTTAAATTATCTTTAAGTTCTCGTCTAAACACTTGTGTTCTTATGTTTCCAGTTTGGTGTCTTGGGGCAGGACATGCTTGGCTCAGGAATTACCGATGTAAGTTTAAACCTTTTTATTCGTTCACACGTATCATATTGAAGCGCGACTTTTGAAAAGACTCAAACTGGCGACCCTAGATTTCTCCAGGTCAGAAGTGGTTTTAACGACAACACTGTAGGCCTGCTGTTTATAGAAAACTTTTTCAACTAAAGCTGGGATTACTTTCGCTTTTTGACGCACATAATATAGATAAATAAGAAACCGCATTGGTTTTCAGGTTCATTATTCATGTTGCAGCTAAGTTGTTACAGAGAAACAATATGCTAATTAAAATGGAAATCGGAAAAAAAACATTATAATGTGGGGGTTTCTATTTAATCGATTCACTGTAGCTGTATTGATTGTTGTGCCATTGGTATTCACACTTTAAATGTAAGCCTGAGTACTTCAATACCTGTTACACCAGGCTAAGCGCTTTATTCCAACTGTAAATCTTTTTAAACTATTTCATCTTCTTAACATGTCAGTCGATACAGAAGATCAATCTATCTGGGATCATTTCGAGATCCTGTTTGTAAGAGAAAGCACAGCTAATACTGGTTTCTGTTGTTTTGCAGGAAATGCAACGAAGTTCCAGTCTTCATTCCGGTCGCTGCCTCG